TAATAATTGTATTAGAAGAGAGCATTTTAAACTACCAACTTTTGATGAAGTATCAGCCAAAATGTCTGGCGCTACAGTGTTCAGTAAGTTAGATGCCTCAACTGCGTTTTATTTAATTAAATTGAGTGAGAATAGTTCAAAACTATGCACATTTGCGTCTCCTTTTGGTAGATACTGCTTTTTAAGACTGCCTTATGGATTGGCCTCAGCGCCCGAAATTTTTCATAGACAATATAGTCAGATATTTGAACAGGTAGCTGGTTGTGAAGCTTTCATTGATGATCTAATAATATATGGAAAAACTAAGGCTGAACATGACAAAAGACTGTTGGAGGTGTTAAAAATTGCAAAGCAAAATGGTATTAAATTTAATTTAAAAAAATGTGAATTTGGTGTTTCAGAAATCACATATTTGGGGCATATATTATCAAAACATGGCATCAAACCGGACCCAAGAAAGGTACAGGCAATACTAAACCTAGAGCAACCAAAGAATGTAGCAGACTTACAACGGGCAATAGGTATGATTACATATGTCTCTAAATTTATCCCTTCACTGTCAGAAGTTTGTCATCCATTAAGAAAATTAATTAGAAAAGGTGTAGATTTTAATTGGAATAAGGAACAAGATGATTCATTTAAACAGTTGAAAGAGATATTAAGTTCAGAACCGGTATTGCAATTTTATGATCCTAATAAACCTTGTAAGCTGTCAGTGGATGCTTCAAAAAACTCGTTAGGAGCAGTGTTACTGCAAAATGATCTTCCTGTTGCATACGCCTCTAAAGCAATGACAACCACACAACAAATGTACGCACAAATTGAGAAAGAGATGCTAGCTATAGTCTATGGTTGCTTGAGGTTTCATCAATATATTTACGGTAAAACTATAGAAGTTGAGTCAGATCACAAACCACTTGAAATAATATTTAAAAAACCATTGTGTGATGTACCATTGAGGTTACAAAGAATGCGGTTACAATTACAAAAATACGATCTAGTAGTGAAGTACAAAGCAGGCAAAGAACTGTTGCTAGCAGATTCTTTATCACGCAATTTTAATAATTCTAAAGATGATGATACGGTTCTAGATGATCTGGTAGAGCCACATGTTAGCATGATTAGATGTAATTTAAAAATTCCATCATCCAAATATAAATTAATACAAACAGAAACTGCAAAGGACAAAGAATTGATTGAATTAACAAAATGTATAAAAAATGGGTGGCCTAATATAAAAAATATACCAGATAATTTAAAACCATATTATACATTTAAAGGAGAACTCTTTATATATGATGATTTAATTTACAAAAACAATTGCTTGGTTATTCCATCATCATTAAGAAAGGAAATGTTGAACAAAATTCATTATAATCACCTAGGCATTGACAAATGTAAATCAAGGGCCCGTAAATGCTTATTTTGGCCAAGAATGACAGTAGATATAGAAAATAAGGTAGCAGAGTGTAATACTTGTAACAGGTTTAAAAAAAGTAATTGTAAAGAACCTATGACAATAAGAAATTTTCCAGATAAACCATGGTCCATGCTAGGTTGTGATGTATTCTATTATAACAAAGAAAGCTATTTAATTGTGGTGGATTATTTTAGTAAATATGTAGAGGTAGCTAAGTTGGATAATCTATCAGCAGAAAATACTGTCCAAATATTAAAAGGCTTATTCAGTAGGCATGGCATACCAGATATACTGTTCTCTGATAATGGTACAAATTTTTCAAGTTATAAGTTTAAAGAATTTGCTACACAATGGGGATTTGAACATAAAACCAGTAGCCCATTGCATCCTCAGTCAAATGGTCTGGCAGAACGATTCGTACAAACTGTAAAGAATGTTTTTAGAAAAGCTGACTATGAACATAAAGATAAAGATTTAGCATTGTTAGAGTTAAGAAATACACCAATATCACATGACTTAGATCTTAAGACTCCAGCAGAGTTATTAATGGGTCGTCAAATTAGAGGACTGTTACCTGTAAATGAAAAACATGATAAAGACGTTCATGTTCAGAATAAATTATACAAGAATGCTAACCAACAAAAATATTATTATGACAGAAATACTAGAAAATTGCCTGAGCTAGTTCAGGGTCAAAATGTTATAATTAAGGATAATTTAAACAAGAAACCTAATTTGTATGGCCAAGTTGTTTGTCGTGATGTAAGACCTAATACATATGTTGTAAAAACCGAAAAAGGAAATGTAATTTACAGAAACAGGAGGTATTTAATACATAACAAGTCAGATGTACTTATGAACAATAAGGATAACTATTATAGATATGGAAACTCATTTGATGATACCTTTCCTGGTTCTATAAATGATAATATGGTCAATTCAAATGATGATTTAATGAAGCAGATAAATAATCAAGATGTAAGTCATGATCATGATACATCAGGCCTCAAGTTGCCAGAAAACAGTATTGAATTATCACCTAAGAATAGTTATACTGAAGTGTATAGATCTAGAGTTGGTAGAAGTATTAAGAAACCTAGATATTTAACAGATTATATTACTGATTAGTTTTTATTTAAGAAAGTTGTTTTTAACCCATTATAGACTGAGTTTTCTTAAAGTGTCAGATATTTGTTTTTTTGAAATATGTTCATAATTATGGTCTACACAATGCTATACAAGCATTAAAAAAATGATCCGACCTGTAATCTAGAAAAAAAATGCTGGTACCATATGGTACCGCTAGCCTCTTACCGTGTCAGTCGGTTAAAACATAACTTTATCATGGACTTTATAAAAATAGGGTTAATTATATATTTTATTATTATTATTATATGTATTAATATACAAGCAAATAACAGAAGTGATATTAAATGTAAAAAAAAACTGTATATTGGGTAAGGAATATTCATTTTTATCTTTGAATATTCAAAAATTTGGAATGGAGCTTGGCATTGCACGCTGCACTTAGTCCCACGTAACATTTCCTATACTCTAATATTGTTCGAAAGTTGCAATTATTTCGAGTTCGTTCTATAAATATCTGCTTCGTCTTGGGACCTTCATCGTCCTCCAAAACTGCCAATGTTTCGTGTAAGTTACATCTAAAATAAATAAAAACCCATGGTTTTGTAAAGTATAGGAAACTATTTTACTTTATCTTCCTGTATACCTTATATACCATTGAATATATATCATACTTCCCAATAAATACAGTAAAAACTAAAAATCATAAAATAATTAAAAAGACACGGTAAGCGGCTAGCGGTACCGTACGGTACCAGTAATTTTGACATACAATATTTCCCATTATTTTTACCTATCGACGTAATTTTACACCATTTCACAATAAGAGCACTTATGGAGAATACAAGATTGTAACAAAATCAGTATTTCACTATCACACAAAAAAAAATATGATCACTTACTTGAATGGCGCGTCAATTTTTAAGAGAAAATTTTGATGCGCTCACTTTAATCATTAATTACACACAACTGAAAAGAATAACTGTCAATTTTTATTCCTAGAAGCATAGACCATATCTATTGGCTACGACTTGCATCAATCAGGGCACTGCATCTTTTCACGTGTTAATGTATAGAGCCAAATTATAACACACAAAAAAGTGGTACCATATGGGACCGCTAGTCTATAATGGGTTAAGTTTCATTAAGAATAAAGGGGATGTGATGTATGTTATCTGTGGTCGACGATCATCTGTCATTCACTTAATAAAGATGTCGGAGTACAAAGTGTTTTAATTATTGAATTAATAAATAACTATATTATACTTAGTTACCACTAAAGAAGAAATTTGAAGAAATTCAAAGCCGAAGTTGAAGGGAAAAAAAAATAATTACTCAGTCGGCTTCAAAATGAAAATGTTTCCTCTCTCTCGCGCCGTCTCCGTGAATACAAACTGAAGACTTAGCTGTATGGCGAATGCCTTTGCCTTTTCCTGCAAGAGGAAAGAACGAAACCAAAAAAAAAAAAAGTTAACTGTCATCACTGTCACCTAATGTCATGTGTGAAAGTGATGTTAAAAACATGTAGAATAATTATTTTTGTATCGATAACGGGGACATTTACTAAAAAATATACACCGAAAAAAAAAATTTTTTAGATAGATTGGTGAGGTTGCGCCTCACCTCTTTTTGGTCAGGTGAAGCGGGGGGTGCGGGGAGTTTGATCCGACCAATCCGAGCGTCATTGTTGACATTGACAGCGTTGCAATTGGATAGTTGTCCCGTTGTCCGTGAGTGCGCGCGCACTCTACAATGATGGCCCCGCACCCCGCGCATCTCTCGACCGGAGAGTGGTGGGGCGCGTCTTCGTGGATGAAACGATCTATATCTACATGAAAAATGTACCATTTGTAGCAACTTAAGTAGGTATTTATTTGAGGTACTATATTAGAGTCGAGTCCTATCGTTACTTATCTGTGTGTGGTTACTGAAACGTCAAGTGGCAAAAATCGGATCTAATATCTTAGCATGGATAGTAGCGTCCTTCTGTAAATATCATAATAATGATTAATGGGACACTTCAGTGTTGTCCAACATGGCAAAAACCGGAACTGTTCACCCAGTATGATATCGCCCAGATTGTCAATGAGTTAAAGTATTACCAAATATAAACCTACCCACGTCCCAAACCCACCCACATAAATGTTACTTCAAAATAATGTTAAAGTTGTGAAAGAAAAACACTATTAAGCAATAGCATTATTATTATCTGTGCAATTATAAAGATCCATAATGAAGGTACCTACTTAATAAAACATTATCTTACTAGTTGTGGAGATTCTAATTTATTTTAGTTTAATGAGGGCTATCGTTTTAGCGCTCACCAGTTAGCGCCACTGTAGAGTAAGGTCCTGTCAATCGCCAGGGGTGCCAACTGTTAAGAATAAAAACGATAGCCCTCATCAAAAACTAATACTATCGATGTCTATAAGCACAAGTAATGAATGTCACATCCCTAATTGTTGTTATCGTGGTCACGTGATGTAGAGTTCTCGTTCTTGTTTGTTGAACTTTGTTGTGAAGATTAAAATTTAATTTATAGTCCGTTTTTGTATTTGGTGGGTGCTGGTGATCAATGATCATTAATGAGTGCTTTGTGAATTATGAACTGAAACTTAATTTACATAGTTTAAAAAAGTTTACCTTATCAATAACAAACTGTAACACTTGCTAATTTCAATATGAGTTCTCGAAAATTTGGTGACTTAAAAGTTACACCGAAAAAGTAAGTAAACACAGAATTTTCGTAAAATTATTATTAATGAATAGACATTAATTTGAAGATGTTAATTTACTGCATTCATGAAAAACTTATTAACATACTTAACTATTTTTTTATTTTTATGTTTAAAAGTCAAGCGTCTCATTTCTAATCTATTAAACCTAAATATTGGCATACTTAATAGACAATAGAAATTAACTGTTGGCATACATAAACTACTTGTTGTCTTGTTTGAATACTTTTATGGTATTTTAAAGAAAATGTAACTTTTTATTTCATAATTTCAGCCACAGGACGTCCACTGCTGAACATAGACCTCCCCCAATGATTTCCACATCGCCCGGTTGGTAGCGGCCTGCATCCAGCGCCTTCCTGCTACCTTTATGAGGTCGTCGGTCCAAGCGTGACGAATATTGGCAACTCTCTAATGTTAAACTTATTTTATTATTTTCAGAGTATTCGCAGAGTTACCGGAGACCTATGAAGTGTCTAAAGAACAGTTGAAGTTTTACGACGACAATGGCTACTTAGTGATAAAGCAGCTTATTGATTTTGGATCGTTATACAGCTATAAGTAAGTACCTATACATATTTAAGAAATACAAAAGAAGTCTTATCTAAATCATTCAGATATTAGAATAATAATCTGTATTATCGTAAATAATTATTTATTTCTATGATAACAACATCATTTTGTATACAATTTTTTTAACTTATTCCTGTAGTCCCAGCAGCAATATAGAGAACTACAATAATTTTGTTAATTTGTATACAATGGCTTTGTTTTAATTTCAATCAATCCTTGTTAATTTTATGTTTGTTAAAAGTTTAATGTTAATTTATCTTACTAATGCTAATTAAAAAAAACTTATTTTCATTTTTCTCTGTACTACTTTAGAATATATTCCCGCTAAATATCCAAAACAATTACAATTGAAAATGAAAATGTTTTCTTTTATAAATAAAGTTCATTTACAAAGTATTTTGGTAACCATCCTTTTAAGTATAAGAATACCTGTAGTAGGAGGTTACTACCACTCTTCCAAAAGTATTAACGTACATCCTTAATTTGTGTGTTTGTGGTGTATTGAGTGAATTAGTTGTTGTGTTGTGAGTGGAGTGCTATGTGTATTATTTACTTAATAATTGTCATTTTATTGCCGTTAAATATTTTTCAGAAAGCAATTCAGTTTGATTTGCAACGGAGTGATACCCCGTGGGAATGTGACGATCGTGAAGGAAGCCAACCTGGTCAAAGAGGCGAAGAAGGCTGAGGATTATGTTAATAAGGTGAGCAAGATTGACCTGTAACGCCCCTGGGTCTGCGGGTGTCTATGGGCGACGGTAATCACTTACCATCATTTTTTCAGGAGAGACAAAAAACCATCTCCTCCATATTTTTATGATGTTTTCATTGAACGCGATAGACGGCATTACAATCATCCAATTCAAATATAGGTGAGCTCGAAATGTGCGTTGAGAGGTTTTCTAACTTATAAAAATTGGACTTACGAGGTTTTCACTCGTCAACGACGATTATACTCTTTCGCATTATCGTCTATTTTTGACTTGACTTAGCTGGAATCCACGAGGCCCTGGATTGAAGCCCAAAAAGCCTTAATAATATTGTAGATACAGCCCTGAGATGTATTCACTATTCAACAATGTTGACGTTAACAAAATGCACACGAATATTTAAGTGACTTGCTTACGTTTACGTGCGCATGAATTTTTTTACATTAGGTACATAATAGGTATGAACTTCTATCGTTCCTTCGTTTCAGCCGAATGACGTCCACTGCTGGACAAAGGCCTCCCCAAGGATTTCTACAAAGACTAGGCAGCTCCCGCGACCTTCAGCAGATATTCGGTCCACTTAGGGAGGCCTGCCCACGCTACGTCTTCCGGCTCGTGGTCGCCACTCGAGAACTTTTCTGCCCCATCGGCCATCGGCTCTTCGAGCTATGTACCCCGCCCACTGCCACTTGATTTTAGCAATTCTGCGAGCTATGTCAGTTCAGTTCTCCTACGGATCTCCTCATTTCTGATTCGATCACACAGGGAAACTCCGAGCATAGCAGTGTAATGAGGGCTATCGTTTTTATACTTAACAGTTGGCACCCCTGGCGATTGACAGGACCTTACTCTACAGTGGCGCCATCTTGATGAGTGCAAATGCGATAGTCCTCCTACCACTTTAGCGCTCACCAGTCGGCGCCACTGTCTTCGTTACTAGCAAGTGACAGGACCTTACTCTACAGTGGCGCCAACTGGTGAGCGCTAAAACGATAGCCCTCATTACTTAGCAATATCCGATTTAAGTAATATTTATCTTTCTTTATAATGTTATGGCGACAGACTTAGGCAAGACAGTTAGACTTAGAACAAGACCTACGAACCAAACCGAAAAAAAAATCCCTACTGGGAATCAAACTCTGGACCTCTTAATCCGAGACAGGTGGTCTTACTACACACCACAGAACGAATTCATCATCTCAGCCATAGGACGTCCACTGCTAAACAGACCTCCCCCAATGACTTCCATATTGACCGGTTGGTAGCGGCCTGCATCCAGCGCCTTCCTGCTACCTTTATGATGTCGTAGGTCCACCTTGTGGATGGACGTCCCACGCTGCCGAAAACGCAGTTTTCTGATACGTGGCCTCCACTCCAGAACCTTGCTGCCCCATCGGCCGTCAGTTCTGCGTACTGTGCCTATTGCCACTTCAGCTTGCTAATCCGTCGGGCCACGTCATTATCATTTACTAGCTGACCCGGCGAACTTCGTACCGCCTTAGCGTAGAGATTTTCTTAATATTTTTTTCCGTAAGAACCATCCTTGGACTTCCACAAACATTTAAAAAAAAGAATTATCGAAATCGGTTCAGCCGTTCACACGTGATGCCGTGACAACGCGAAACGGGTTTCATTTTTATATATATAGATTTATTACTAGCGGCCGCCCGCGACTTCGTACGCGTGGATCCCGTTTTACCCACTTCATCTATCTTACGCGGTTTAGATTTTTTCATACAAATGTTTTTTCCCGTTCCCGTGGGAATTTTGCAATATCCTGTTGTAACTAAGCTTTAAGTTTACTAAGGTACCTGCATGCCAAATTTCAAGCGTCTGACTTAAGGCCGGGTAGCAGTGAAAATAGCGAAAATGAGGTTTTCATTTTTCATTTTTGAGGTACTAAACAGTAAAATTAAAGGCTAAGATTTTATTTGGGCTTAGTTGAGGATATTTTCTAGGGCTATTAACGGATGGAAACACGATTTGATGAAGTTGACTCGATAGAATAAATTCCCAAAGTTACCTCTATTCGTTTTCTAATAATGGTTTTATTTTTAAAATAAGCGATTTGAGATTCTGAATCTTTTACTAAACTAAAGTTCAGAAATAACTTGAGTGCTTTTAACGGATGAAATTTTTATATTGGCTCTTATTTAGTTACTATGTTAAAAAATGTGGAAAAAATCGCCCATGACGGCTTGGACAATCTCAATCAGTCGCGCGGTGGCGCTTACGGAGGACGGACGCGTGTCAGTTTTTTGGTCGTGACAGTTCGCGATTTGTCAATATTTTTGACAATGATGACTTTGATGAGTCACAGTATAATAACATCAGTGTTACTGGAGAAAGCTAAAATTTTTGATAATTAAGAATTATGAATGTTGTCTACCTATTGAAATTTAAATCGTTGGCATCCTTTTAAACTAAGACCCTACTCATGATACAAAGTACATTCCTCAAATATGAGACAAAACCAATGAGTTAAAATTACATTTTTATAGTACCTACATAATATAATCGTCTTACACACTTTAGAAGAGCACAATGACACAAATAAATAATAAAAATTAGGTCAAATATNTCAAGATGTAAGTCATGATCATGATACATCAGGCCTCAAGTTGCCAGAAAACAGTATTGAATTATCACCTAAGAATAGTTATACTGAAGTGTATAGATCTAGAGTTGGTAGAAGTATTAAGAAACCTAGATATTTAACAGATTATATTACTGATTAGTTTTTATTTAAGAAAGTTGTTTACTTTAAGTTTCATTAAGAATAAAGGGGATGTGATGTATGTTATCTGTGGTCGACGATCATCTGTCATTCACACAATAAAGATGTCGGAGTACAAAGTGTTTTAATTATTGAATTATTAAATAACTATATTATTAATTAGCTGCGGTCCTGTGAGTGAGCACGCGCCGCACAGCCCCCCTAGACAAAACGCACTTTTTGATCGAATCGAAAATCGAATCCGTCAAAACTCCATACAAAAAAGGGGCTTTTCGACCACTTTTCGACTGGTTTGCGATTATAATTTGCACTTTGTCTAGACCCACAGTACTATCTACTATAACGAATGAATCGTCGCGTCAAGACAGGTAAATAGATTTATCATTCGGTTGTCGATTATTATTCGATTATTTTTTTTCGTAAAATCGCCCATCGCGGCATCGCTAAATTGACCTGCGATAGCAGTTTCACGCAATAATTCATAAAAAGCTGAACTAACGAAGACATACTCTATGAACGAAGATAACCGATTTGCTTCTGATAAAAACCAGATAAATATTTCTAAATAACTCAGATGTTTATAGAATAATTGAAATATATGCTTTAGTATGAAGTCAAGTCAAACTCATTTAGATGGAGAGAGAGACGAATGTTTAAAATTTTGCATATTTTTTTGTGATAACAGTCGTCTAAGGTGCCCTCTTTTATCAAATATTGGCATTAGAGTATTTCACAGACGTTAAAATAGTGGATAATAAAAACATTGGTGTTGCCATAATCGCAGATTGTTATTCTTTCCTGTCAACCAGCTGTCAAAAAGGTTGGCGAAATATGTGTTTTGTGAATTTTTATCAAAAATCCTATTTAATCCAAGTGTTGAAGACAAAAGAATAGATTTATTTTAAGTGAAACGACGTGTGTTATACCTATTATTTATAATTTGTCTCATATTTCAGCTCCAAAATGGTACAGCGACTTACATTCAGACGACGATTGTCGTACAATACCAAGTCTAACCAGAGGAGAATGTGAGTATTTTGAATTACATTAACTTACTTTAAGTTTAAGTGAAAATCTTTACGTCATGTAGAAGTGTATTCTAATTTATTTTCACTCTTTAGTGAACATCGAAGTCAGATACACATAACCTCAAAGTATCGGCATTCTCATCTCATAAATCTCCGTGTATGCCAAAAGTTCTCCACTAATAATGATATGCGTCAAAGCATATTCATCTTATTGCAACACACTGTTCGTGTGCAACAGTTTGTCTAAAACTTAAACTATTACAGTGTTGTATTTGAGACTTGAGTTGCTGTTGATGCTAGTCAATTTAATAATCTACACATCTTCAGAAATAACGTGGAGGCATTTCATTATACTAACTAAATCTGATGTGTAGAACTTAATAAAATTGTTACTGTAAATACTTCAGTCACTTTAGTATGAAGGGATGTGGTAACTTATTGTATTTACATTATTTTCATCGAGACATGTGTAACATTTACTAAAAAAGTTACCTATGTTGTTAGTGTAATAAAATATGTAATCATGTTTGTGTATCTTGAAACAAATGTTATCAGGTTTACCCAGTAAAATATTGTGAGATGCCAATAGATGTTTCAGAAATTATTTGTAATTTCTATAACTTTTCATGTGCATACACACTATGGCATGTTAGGTAGTTCTTTTTAGTTCAACTTAGCAACAAAAATAATAAAAATATATTCTTACTTATTGGAATGTGCTGTACATATTTCAATGTTACAAAAGTTAGTGCCGCTTTGTTGAATTAATTTCATTATAATATATCTCATTATGTTACAAACAACTACTATTTTGAGGGACAGAAATAAAAACTACATTTCTAACCTAATAAATTATTTTGTCTTTAGAGTCCGAACTCCTGGTGGCCGTCTGGTCTATCAATATGTCAAGAAGCCCAAGAAGATCCCGAGATGTGGTCAGTGCAAAAGCAAACTGCGCGGTATTGAGCCTGCCAGGCCTGCAGAACGTTCCCGCCTGTGCTACCGTAAGAAGACTGTCAAGCGTGTATACGGAGGAGTCCTCTGCCACAAGTGTGTCAAGCAGCGCATTGTCAGAGCTTTCCTTATTGAGGAACAGAAGATTGTCAAGGTCCTCAAGGCACAGCAAGCCAGTGTCAAGACCGGCAAGAAGTCAGCAAAGTAAATGCTAGGGTTAATAAATAAGTAAAAACAAATTTCCTTGTTTTATTTTAAAACTGATATTACATTGTACCTGTCATTTACTGGTTTAC